GTTGTCTTGTGTATACTTTGATAGGTCTAAAAAAAAAAAATTCCCGCCTGCCAGCATGACTCAGTGGTAGAGTCAGGAGGTTACGGTTCGATTCCTGGTCAGGGCACATACCCAGGTTGTGGGCTCCATCCCCAGTGTGGAGCAGGCAGGAGGTAGCTGGTAGGTGATTCTCTCTCGTCATTGGTATTTCTATCTCTCTCCCTCTCTATTCCTTTCTGTAATCAATAAAAATATATTTTTAAAAAAACCAATCCCTGCATAGTATCAAGACACTCATTTAACAAAAAGATCAAATTAATATTGTGGCAGATCTTAACTTCAGATTTTCCTGAACTAATTGCTTAAAATGTCAACCTTTGATATTAATATTTCAAACATTTGTAATAAAATGTTAAATATTAAAATATTAAGATGCAAATATTTATAATAGTTTTAATGAATAAAGTTCTTATTCTTGAGAGTCAGGGCACTCTTTTTCAAGCCCCCATTCAAGGGCAAAGCAGCTCATTCGTTTTCTTTTCACTAATCTTGAAAAAGCAGTCACTAGGCCAGCGGTTCTCAACCTGTGGGTCGCGACCCCTTCACAGGGGTCGCCTAAGACCATTAGAAAACACATATATAATTACATATTGTTTTTGTGATGAATCACAATGCTTTAATTATGTTCAATTTGTCACAATGAAAATACATCCTGCATATCAGATATTTATATTACGATTCATCACAGTAGCAAAATTACAGTTACAAAGTAGCAACGAAAATAATTTTATGGTCGGAGGTCACCACATGAGGAACTGTATTAAAGGGTCGTGGCATTAGGAAGGTTGAGAACCACTGCACTCGGCAAAGGCTCAACTTGGTATTAGCAAAAGGCATTGTGCTCAGGAGACTACCCTGCACTTGAAAACTATCCTGTATTATCCTTGTGACTGGTCTCTGCAATCCCCAATCCAAACCTTTCAATCACAGTTAAATACTAATTCTTCTGTTTAAAGGAAAATTATTTGCAGTCCTTTCCAGTCTTTTTCTCTCTAGTGGGTGGAAGGAACTGAGTGTAGAAATAAGAGAGAACAGGAATTCTGTTCAGCCAAAGAGAAGATTCCCCCTATCTACTTACTTTCCATCTGCAGAGAACACAAATTGGGATACTTACAATAGATGCAAATACGCTTTCCCAGGTCCTCCCCACTTCCTCCACTTACCTCTGACGCAACATTTCCAGTCTTTTAATGGGTCACAGAATTTGAGCTGAATGGAAATGAACCTACAAAACCCCTGGTACTGTGGGCAGTTGGCCTGAGTATAAGGTTAGACAGCGCACTAAACACTGAACTAAAAGCAATCCCTGAGTGTCTGGTTCACTGTAGCTGGATACCTTCTCTAACCGTTCTAAAATCATAGTTAATAAATGCACTCAGCTGTACAATGGATGAACAAAATTGTGACTTTCATTCCATCCACAAGGACACTTTATATAGTGTCTTCCTCTGTAACATTTGTAGACAGCTGTCACGCTATACTCCTGGAAACTAAAGGACAATTAAGACATCAGAGGCAAACTCAGGAGGTCCTGGGGACTTCGGCCATGAAGGGAGCAATGAGATTCAAGCATACAATTTCCTGAAGGAAAAACAAAAACACTTGAGTCTACTCCCCAGCCTCCATCCTCAAAGGCAAGTATAAAGGGAAGGGTCAGTTTAATAAACTTTCATCCTTCTTTAGTTGTGTTTTTTTTTAAAATATATTTTATTGAGTTTTTACAGAGAGGAACGGAGTGAGATATAGAGAGTTAGAAACATCGATGAGAGAGAAACATCGATCAGCTGCCTCCTGCACATCTCCCACTGGGGATGTGCCCGCAACCAAGATACATGCCCCTGACCGGAATCGAACCTGGGACCTTTCAGTCCGCAGGCCGATGCTCCATCCACTGAGCCAAACCGGTCTTGGCGATTTAGTTGTTTTATTAAAAATAATATGCCTAAAAGTCTGCAGATGAGCTGAAATATCCTTGGAAAGAGGCATATGACATACCAGTCTACCTACCATTCCTACCTACTATTTGAAAACCACAGGGTATCTTCTGGGAAACAAAACAGTCTCTGCTTGAGGGAAAAAAAAATCTCTAAAAGCCCTAACCGGTTTGGCTCAGTGGATAGAGTGTTGGTCTGAGGCCTGAAAGGTCCCAGGTTCGATTCCGGTCAAGGGCATGTACCTTGGTTGTGGGCACATCCCCAGTAGGGGGTGTGCAGGAGGCAGCTGATCGATGTTTCTAACTCTCCCTCTCCCTTTCTCTCTGTAAAAATTCAATAAAGTATATATTTTTAAAAAATCTCTAATATAGCTATAGCTGTCATTTACTCTTATTTTTTATCCTCCCCATCCCCCGTTCCCCCCCTCAAAGTATTTGAAATCATACCAGAAATGAAGAGGTTTTGGGGTCAAATAATAGAACACTGAATGAAACTTGGCTTACAGTTGTCAATCCATTTTGCATTAGCAAAAATGAATATATAAATGAATATAAGAAAATGAAACTAAAGAGAAAAACTATTAAGAGAAAGAAAAAATTCAAATTTACTTTGAAAAACCTGATTTTATTTTCTGAATCAAAAAGAAGTGTATTCACATTAAATTCAGAATTTTTAACTTTCCAATGATTTCTCAAAATACTTTACTGATATTGTTAACAGTGTTCAGAACTGTGTAAAAGTTAACATTCAAAAACAAGTTTTGAAGAAAAAAGTTTAACCATAGGACCTATTTCTAAGAAGCCCTTCTCAAAGATCAAAGTATTAGCAATCCTAATTTTAAAAGAAAATAATTTTAATCATTTTTAGAAATTTAAATGACAACGGTTTAAGAGCTAAATATCAGATCTCTTTCATAACAGAAAAAATTTTAATTTGAAAAATTCCTACTAGACAAATTCAATGAAACACAACACTTCACCCACCCCCAAAATTTCTAAATGCATCATTTCACCTTGGAATAGGAAAATTATAAAATGGAATTTTAAAATTATACTATATATATTAATACACCATTTTAATGTCATGCTTGCTAGCAGAATATGAAATTAAAACCAATCCTACAAAGGACAGATGGTAAGTGCTCTTCCATTGTTTTATTTAAGAGCCTCTCCCATTCTTGGTTGTTTTTGCCCCCATATTATAAAATCATGACCAAACGCCAAGAGTCAATCCATTTACCTGAAATGAACAGCTAGTAGGTACTGGTCCTACATTTGTGTCCTTTACAAAAGTCCAGTACTCAGAAGGCTGGGGGGATTGATAAGAACATGATTTAGGAACACTTTAGAATCCCAAAGTACTCAGACATCCAGGTCCCTAAAATCTAGTAGATGTTATTCATAGGCTATTCACATGTCCTGAAGCATGGCCAGCATGCAGGCAAACTTCTTTTATTTGTTCAAATTGAGGTAAACAGAGAAAAAATACTTAATAATAACAGAAGCTGCATAATGAAAACTAGCCTCCTTTTGCTGCTTATTTCATATAAACTGATTTTTAAGTTTTCTCACAAACGAGACTCTAAAGCCAATAATTTCTCCAATTTCAGTTACCCAGAAAAATAAGCTTCTCCTTTCAAAGCAAAGTTTTCTTTTCATTATTAGTGAATAATTTTTTGGGGGGGGAAAAAAACAAAACAACAAACTTTTCCCCTCAGAATCTGCATTTTGTACTTAGCGTGATATAATTTATTACTTTGTTTTTCTAATTTAGAAAGCATTTAGGCCTGAGTATTTTTTTCAGATACCAAGTAATTCTGACAGAATTCATAAATATGATTTTCTGAATTAGGAAGGAAGGTCTGCTAACATTTACAAGTTACCAATAATTCCTCTTTCAAGCATAAAATGGCTGTGATTATGTTGATATGATTAATTTTTCAATACAGATACAAATTTAAATCTTGATTTTTTTTTGCCAACATTTTAAATAGTCAAATTTTACTCTCCTTAAGGTTCAAATCAAAACAAAAAAAAATGAATGAAAATTACCCAACTGGCAACAAGTCCCATATTTCAATGTTATTTTTAACCCAACAATTATAACCTACTGCCAGTAATTATTTATACGTTTTTACTTGTTTTTATTACATAAGCACTGGTCAGTTATCTAAAACAATAATTTGCAAGAATGATACTTGGCACTGGGTTTACCTTAATGCTTCTGGTATAAACAGAAACTCTTAGAAAATACCAGCTCTTAAGCACTTTTTAAATCTGTAATTTAAATGTCCAATAGCATTTTTAAAGATGTTACTTTTCTATTGATAGATTTTAGGGAGTCTAGTCCCAGATAACATGGTTGATTAAAAAAAAAAATCCCTACGCCACATAGGATACTATACTTATTTTTTTCTATCATATGAAAAACATTTCCAGGCAGATCAAAAGTAGAAGAAAACCTGCCAAATCAAAATACTGTAAATAAAGTTCATCTTTTGTACCCAGAGCAGAAGAGCTCAAAAATCTAAATATCAAAATCAAAAGAACAACTCCCCTGGCCCCTACACACAAACACTCACCCAATACAATTTAGTCCTGAGCCCAATATTTCCCTAAAAAGTTAATACCAGAGCTGTAAGGTACTTAAATCTGTGTTGAAAGCGTCACAATATAGATGAAATGCCCTA